ATATGGGATGCTTTAGCCTGGTTTACATGAAAGAATCTCTCTTTGAAATCATTTCCTCATCTTTTAGAGTTGTACACTCGAATAAATTATTTGCCTTCCCCTGCAAACAAGCGATTAACCCACGGTTCCATGCACCTTGGATTGGATAAATCCTCTTCTCTAATTCACTATATATAGCATGCTATACAATCTCCATCCCCTGACAATTCCAGATCCAGTTGACTGAGCCTAAGCCTCTCTCAGATCTCCTCCGGCCACCATGACAGTCGGCACCACCATGGCGTTCTGTTATGCTAATATTAGTTATAACGAAGACGGTAGCACAACCGACGATTACTTCAACAGGTTTCCCCCTGGTTATAGGTTCTGTCCCCGTGACTGCGAGCTGATAGAACATTACTTGATGAAGAAGTTATTGCATCAGTGCTTGCCGCATCATCGTATTCGCCAGATTACAAGTGTCTATGAACTCAGTCCACAGCATCTGACTGGTTAGTGTTACACATGTTATATTTTAAATGCTTCTAATTGAATCTAACACAATTCTCTATCTTAGTATTTGAATCCAAAATCTATAGTTTTCATTCATGTAAGGATTTTAGAAGTCTTTTGTAATCCAAATTGCACCATAAAACATAAGCTATTAAATGGGTGGATGTTCACCATACATTCAATAAGTTCTCTGTGTTTGTAGTTTGGTACAGTTAGAATCTAATTAGTATGCATACACCTAAATGTATAATAATATCAATGATTTTATGTCTTTAGGGATGTTCAAGCAATATAGAGAGAAAGAGTGGTACTTCTTCACTCATGCAAATGAGGGTGATGAGGCAACAATGGAGTATCATAATGATATTAATGGATATTGGAAGGTGATCATGGTGGAACCCATTATTGATCAAAATGGGGAAGCCATAATTGCAAACAAAAGATCACTTGATTACTATGAAAAAGGAATGAGAACAAATTGGAAAATGCAACAATATCACATTACTTCTATCCCAAACATCCCAAGGGACAGTGAGAGGAACAAGGTGCATATTTTGATTGAATCAATATGCTTTTCTTTCTTCTACAAGCAATGTATAATACATCTAAGGGTATGTTTGTTTCATTACTTTCTCAGGAAAAATATCCGGGGAAGCCAAGCTATTTTTCATGGCTTGGCTTGAAAATCTTGGTACAATATTCAATAGAAATATAATGGGTTTAATTCATCATAACCAACAATAACATCAAGTTTCCCAAGATATTGCTTTCCGGTAAAATTACCAGGGAAGTTCCTTCTTGGGAAACTTGTGTTTGTTATTGTTACAACCAGTTATAATTAATTGTAACCTATTATATCTCTTTTTGAATCTTGTGCCAAGGTTTTCAAGGCAATCCATAAAAAGAAAATGATTTAAGGATAGTTTTTTTGTATTTTTTTCAATTTTACGTGTCATTTAAATTATTGATTTATTTTATTCATTTAAAACTTATGATATTAAGTGTATTTATTAATTTAATGACGTGTAAAAAATGTATAAAAAAATCATACAAAAAAATTATTTCTATATCACCACCCTAAAAAAATAGCTTGGCTTCTCTGAATATCTTTTTTCGAGAAAGTAATGAACCAAAGGCATCCTAAGGATGAATTAACTAAGGATAATTATTTTAAAATTTGAACTTTGAAACTTTCAGTATGACATATAAGCTTTTAAATATTGAGATGTCTCTCAAGGGACTTGTTTTAGAAGGGTTAAAACATGAATTGCCCTACCTTGAGCCCTATCTCAATGACATTACTATGCTAACATAAGTTACCATTTTTTTTTCTTTGGTTTGCAGTTTGATCAATGGATTTTGTGTAGGATATATACGGAGAATAATAAGATCATTGAGACTGACAAGGAAGAACAGGCTGACAAGGAAGAAGAGGTAGACACCGATGAGGAAGAAGATGAAGCAAAAGATGGAGCAAAGAAGATTTTGACTCTAAATGGACCGACATACAAGAAAGAAAAGAATATGAATGAGAATGATGAGGAAAAGGAGGAAGATGAAGAGGAAGAAAGAAAAGGGAGCAAGAATTGATTTTGATTCTTAGAAAGGAGTACTACTTTATTTTTCCCTATTTTTGAGAATAAGTTTAGTTTTTTCATAATCAAGAATAAGTTTAATTAGGTTAGTAACCAAAATTTTTTCTCATGGACAGTGAGGCAAAACCAATAATTTTGAAATCGTTAATTCTTTCATTTTTTAAATAAAGTTTTATATTTATTATTATTATTATTATAAATCATAAATTATAACAAATCTCTCTTATCTCTTCACCCACTCCATGCTTACATCTCCATACTGCTCACATATTGCGTTAATATTCGCTCGTATGCTTTAATCCACCTCACATTCCAACCAAACGAGTGTGAACGATTCGGGAATGGTTTGGCAAGAGCCAACTCAAGAGCGGACTTGCTGTGGAAGGTGAAATCACTCTTTTAGCAGGCTTTGAGCATATGGGTTGAACTTAACTTGGGCCTAATTAAATTAAGAAGTTAGTCTGACTACTTGTTCAGGCCCTGGATCAATAGAGCCATATAAAATGGGTCCATCCACTAAAATGGCAAGGTTGATACTCTAAAAGGGTAACGTCTAAATGATTAGTTCTAAGTCGGAGTCTTTTTATGTTGTGCATGTTTACATCTCTGCTAATTTGTGATTTAATTTATCAAATTAATTGTACCATGTACTTGGAAGAAATAAATCTAAATTTTACACTGCATAAAAAAAAAATTTGTCAATCAGAATAATATTTATCAATCCAACTTATAAAATTTTAAGAGTATTATAATCCAAGCAACATCATTTTAGGTGTTCAAGCCCTCTAGATAAAAAAATTTGGAGGTTTTTGAGATTCAAAGTGATGGAGAGATAGAGAGGTTCTCTAAGGAGGTGAAACAAACCATGATACAGGAGTGATTATGCATGTCTTCTAAAGGGAGAGCCCAATCTCAATCAATGGTGAAGTCCCCCTTTGCCTTTTGGGTATCTTTCTTCTTTTTATGTGGTTACAACCGTCACCAATCCAGATGATGCCTCTGGCTTTCATGTATAGGTTAGATAGTGGAGTCATGCCTATGGAGAAGGTGGGATTGGATCTATATTTAATTCTTCTCAGTACAACATCAAGGATTGTGTTGATGCAATGGAATCACGTTACTCTTTTTTTTTTTCTTCTTCTTTTTCATAATTTTTTCTAATTAAAATTGAAATCAAACTGGCCATAGCATATACAAATTATAATCATAATTAATAAATTATGTGATGTACTTTTGATGGCCAATCTCACATTTAAAACATATATAATTGTAATTTATATATAAATGAAACTAATTATTATTAATAACTTAATTCTTTTAAAATTTTTAAACATCTATAAACCTTAACTTGATATCAATGACGGAATTTGATTTAAATGTTTGTGTGCTAAAGTATCCAAGTTTTTTTATCTGAAAATTAGCGATAGGCATCTAAACGATCCCTTGTTTATAATTACAGTATGAGTTGGGCATTCCAATGAGCATCTCATGTGTAGTTAAAATGGTGAGATGCGCTCCCAATGATGCCATCGTCACTTTCCTTAACTATGCACTTTAGTTTAGGGCGCGTTTGGTTTGAGATTCTAACAAATAGATTATGTTTGGTTTAGGGAAAATTCTCCTTACTATTCTCAAGAAATTATATGGCGCTTTTGTAGTGTAATTACTATTTTATATAATTTAATAACTCAATTGATAATTAATATTTTTTAAGAATAATTATTAAATACTAACATAGTTTTTACACTTATAAAATATTCTTTTTATCCTTGTTTAGTTTGGGATAAAAGGAGAGGGAGGGGAGGGAAAAAGGAACATTTTCCTTCCATTTTCATCCTCTCTTCTTTTATTTAATTAGTTAAAAAATTTATTCTTATCCTCTCTTTTCCTTCATTTTTTTCAATTTCTCTTAAACCAAACATAATAGAATATAGCACTTGCGGCTTTAGCAATGATGAAAGCGCACCAACGCCCTTGGCTTCTTTGTCAAGAGTTCAAGCTGCCAGTACAATAATATTGTAACTATTTTCCCATCTCTCAATTTTTCACTGGTCAAAAAAAAGAAAAAAACATAATAGAATATAAAGTTATAGAAAAACCATTAGCCTAGTAAATTTGTTGATTGGTTCCACCATGACTTTAGACTCATTCGGGCAATATAATTATTTCCATATATTGTATCCATTATAAAAGTAAAAATCCAGCACATTTCCCGCCCCAATCTGCGACTACCCTTATTTTAATTCCCATTAAGGAAAAGTATTAAGGAACTAATAAAACGGCTCATGATGCTGATGATAACAAGTAATCATTACATTTGAAAATTTAGGTTAAAGGTAAGGTTTTTTCTTTAAAAAAAAAATAAAATAAAATATTTCTACCAAAAATATATATATATAAAAATTATTTAAATATTTTTAATAAATTTTTTATGTTAATTCACTTAAGATATTTAAATTTTTTCTAACATTTTAACTGTAAAAAAAATTTAATTGTCTATAATTTTTTTTATCTTTTAATTTCTTTTTTCAATTTTTGCATGCCTTATCATTTTCGAAAAAATTAAAGGTAAGAATTTAAGCCAATTTAAAGACCTGTTCGGTACACAGCTATTCCTGAAAATTTTCTCCCTTAAAGGTAAAAATTGCTTCACGATTGTACTTCAATTTTATTATTAGGTGTTTAATCAGCTAAATTTTTAAAAATTTATTCTTCAATTTTTTCACAGCACAATCACAGAACAAGCGATCAGCAATATCTGTGGATAGCAACTTCCATTAGAAGGCTGTAACCGAACATAGTCTTCATTTTTCATGCCAACTTACAAGCACTGTACTGTATCTAGCCTTATCTTTGTTCACTTCAATTCGCACGTATTAAGTTATTTAAACCCATCTCCTTAACATAATCAAAGGTAAGTAATTGATGGTAAAATTAAAAATTTAATAAAGAATCACTACCTAATATGATGAATAAAGTTGGGAACAAACCTCCTTTACAAAATTAGATGAATTGAATCTTCATTTATAATGTAAGTAAAGCATCCAATTACCAACCAAAGCAACCCACCAAGTGTCTTTATTTCACATTGAAGTACCATTTTTGCATTTACAATTAGTCAGGAGTCATGATTCAAAAGGTGCAAAAAAAGCATCCATGAATTATGATGCTATGCTTCCTCTTTTCACCTTAAAGTCTTGCAGAAGTAGATTTGTTTTTAGGGGAAGATTTGAATGTTGTGACATTCTTTATCTGCCTTAGCTTAAATATGTTATTAATGTGATGAATGGTGGGGGGTCAGATTACTGTCACGCAGACATATATTGTCCCCACTTGTCTAGGACATTCCACAACTATTGCCCATTGCTCAAGTCCCACTCATTACCATATGAAATATTGATCTTGGGTTTCTTTCCATTTAAAAATTTTTTCCCGAGGGAGACAATAGTTTCTTCAATAATTCACAAAGTAACAAAATGGAAGTCATATTTGAAACATAAATATTTTAAAGTAATTTCAGAAAGGTTTATTTTTGTTAGTATAGACTAAAAAAATTTAATTTGGATTGAATATAGCAACAGTGCAGTTAATATTTTGAATTTTAAAAAGTGATCAACATTTTTGTCATTACTAATCTAAATTAATATTTTTTATAGTTCAAACTAAAAAAACAACATTCTCAGTTATTAAAATACCATTAAAAATATTCTCAACTAACTTCAATTCCTACAAGAATGGTTTCAAGGAACTACGTTCAACAACACTAAAAATGTTTAGATGATAGGAAAAATGATAATTGAGGAACAATTAAAGGGCAAATTAGGGTGTCTTCCCAAAAGCACCTTTTAATAATATATAGGCTTTATTGTAGGCACAAATAAGTAAAGATGTTTACACCAATAGAAAAGTGTTTTGCGGATTTTGTTGTGTTAGATAATAAAATATTGATTATTAAATGATAATAACCCTTAATGATACGTGTGACAATCCTTTATTTAATAATTGATATTTTATAATTTAGTATAATTTGAAACTTTAAAATAAAACTCTACACCAATTGACCCATCAAAAGATTAATACGCAACATTTTTGTATAAACCAATTGTTGAACAACTATTAATTGGGGTGCAGTTATTGCCACCATTAGTTTTGTTAAGATTATTAGATTTTTTTTTGGTAAAAAATACTAATTTTATTTGATTTAATTATTAAAAATAATTAATAATTAATTAAATAAATGATATTTATTATTTAATAAATTAAAATTAATTATAAATTAATATTTTAAATATCAGAATTATTTATTTAAAAAAAACAATAAACATCAATTAAATTTTAGTAATCTTAACAAAATAAATACTAATCATAACCAGGTGCCCTGTTAGTTGTCCCAGCCTTGTTTTGAACAGTCCTGTCATCAAGGGCAGTGTTTCTTCTCCAAAATCATTAAAAATATGGGAATCATTTTGGTTCCCCTTCTCATTTCAAGAAAATGCATTTCCCAATATGTGCCTGATTGTCCTACAAGGCTACAAGAAAATATGTTGTCCTATCTTGTTGAGATGACCATCCCTTCACTTATAAATTTGTTCCAATCTTGCTATAATTTCATACAATCTTAGCTAATCAATCTTTTTCTCTATTTTCAATGCTTCAAAATTGCTAATTGTGTTTAGAATACTAAGAGACAAACGGAGAGACTTTAAAAAATAGTGAAATTGATTATTTGATTCTTGTTTTTTTAATTATGTTCGCAGAACTCTTAATGAAATTGCTTATAGGATAGCACTCATGCACTCACCCTTATCATCATGGGAAGGAGTTGGGGTGGGTACTCTACCCTCTACTATCTGTACTGATATTGTTTTTTAAGCAATAACATATATATTTTCCAAAAATATATATAGGGAT